ATTTAAGATAAAAATCAGGCTATAGAAGTGATTTCATATTGCCTTTCTAATATTCACATAGTCTATAAATATTTAAAGATCAAATAATTATTAAAAATTCAATGATGATGAGCATTTTCAGATCATCATATTCACGGTCATGGGTAATAACAAAAAGCTTTCTTTTCTGAACTTTAATTTCCATGTTTTTTAAGATGTGTTTATTATTGAGTGTGAAAGATCGTTGGTAACACTGCTCATTTGTTGATTAAACTGAGTGCGCCACATTGCTAGAATTCAATTTCCAACTCCATTACTTGCTATTTATGTGACCCTGGTCAAATAACCACTCTGTATGTAGTATCCTTATCAGTAAAATGGGGATAATATATGAGACTGTTATGACCACTTTATAAACGAATTATGTACAAAGTGGTTAAGAGTCCCTAGCACATCCTAAATATTTTGTGTTTGCCAAACAAACCTAAGTAAAATAATCGCTCTTTCCTGTAACTTAGAATATTATCCTTGGGATCTCAAGAGGCTATTAAATATTGCATATATGACATACATCTATAATATTTATGGACATACTAAAATTTATCTAATACAAATGACTCTAGAAGTCTACATGTTTACAAGTACATTTATGTTTATTTTATATTTAAATTTTAAGATGTTTAAGACAACATCTTAAATATAATGTTAACAAAATAGTAACTGGCTGTCTACAGTCTCATCAGTACAATTTCAAGTTTTCTGACTGCATATACTTTATATTTCATTGATTTTCCATCTTAATGTTTCAATAAAGATAAGTTTTACTGTCACATTCATTTTAAACTACATGAATGCAGAGTGTAGCTAAAGTATACAGGAACAACTGTATGAGTCTATCTAAAAAAAAAAAGATTAAACTGGAGAAAAATGAGTACTAATAATCAATAAAGTGCATCCGAAAAATAGACATACCATTGAACTTCTGGCTGATGGGTACATTGACTGGGGTAGACTTCACAAGTGAGGCTTTGCCAATAGGATCTAGATCTTTAAGGTCTGGAACTCGATCATGATAAATGAAGTCATTATCCTTCTTTGCTGCAGTAAGGGCACGGCTGATTTTGTCAGAAAAATCCTTCACATTGACATATTCATCATAGCGCGATACCACTGTCTTAATCAATTCTGCTGCATGCTAAGAAGGAAAACGTTAAAATTTTTTAAATGAACATTTTATTTCTCTCCATCAAGCACTGGTTTCAAAAATACTAATAAATTTTTTTAGAAACTTAATGTGGTGACTTGCATTTCCAGCACTGTGTCTGACAGGATTATCTGGAAATTCTCCCATCACAGAATACTCCTAAAATAAAGGGACTAGACATGGTAGACATCCATTTCAACACATGGGTGAACTGCCAGGGTAGTAAAAGAAATTCATGGACCAATCAGCATCTATTGACACTGAGGAAGCTGGCTGTTAAATTATTTCTATAAACCAAAGAATTAATTGCTAAAATGTGTCGTAGGTCCCCATGGAGACCTAAGACAAGGGTCTTAAAACAACAGAGGTCACAGAACTGAAATGTACATTTTTCACCCCTTTACATGAAGACAAGAACCTCAAAGGGCTATACTCTCTCTTTATATATATACATATCTAAATTTATTCACAAATTTAAAGCTAAAATTTTATTACTTAGGTAATAAAATAGAAGGAATAGTAGCATCAGATAAAATAGACAACCCAAAAGCATTATTAGGGATAAATTCAGTACATAATTTTTTAACATTTGCCAATTTACCAGAACATAAAAAAGCCTCTTAAATTTTGCATTTAACAGTCCCTAGCTATATAAGTAATTATAGTAAAAAACTGATAAATCTACCCATATCAGAATGGAAGATTTTTAACACTTTTTTTTTTTTTTTTTTTGGGGGGGGTACTGGGGATTGAACTCGGGTGATTTTTAACACTCTTAAGCAAAAAGACTCTAAGATTATAGATTTGGGAAATGAGGACATAGTTTAGTGGTAAAGCACTTGTCTACTGACATGAGGCCCTGTGTTTAATCCCCATCTCAAAAAATTTTTAAAACGAGAGGCTATAGAAGATTTGAACAACACAATTAATGAGTTTGATTTACCAGACATGAAGAACCCTGGGTTCCACGATTATAGAATACACAATATCCTAATGCATACTGAGAACAGCTATACAGTATCACCAGATTAAAACAGGAAGCAAGCCTAAATACCACACACAAAACAAAATTGGCTTAAAACTAGAATATCTACTTATGCATTTCTCTAAAATAAAAATTTTATCACTTCTCAGCCTTTTGGCTAAGATCAAGTGTAAAATAAAAATTTTGTTAAAATCAAGTATCTCGTGCTCACTTCAGCAGCACATATACTAAAATCAAGTATCTCAGGGCTGGGAATTTAGCTCACTGGTTCCGGTGCTTGCCTTGCAAGCACAAGGACCTGAGTTCAATTCCCGGTACCAAAAAATAAAAAATAAATAAAATCAAGTATCTCCATAGAATGTTGGAAAAGCATTTTAAAAAATTCAGTATTTGCTATGGTTTAGCTAAGTGTCTCCCAAAGCCCCATGTGTTAAAGGCTGGTCCCCAGCTAAGCTGCATGGAAAGTTGGTGGAATTATTAAGAAATCAGTCCTAGTGTGAGGTTTTCTGGTCACTGGGGACATGCATTTGAAGAGGATACTGGAACCCCTACCCCACCCCTTCCATTCTTTCATATCCTGGCCACGAAATCAAAGATTTTGCTACACAATGCTGCTGTAGTGTGCAGTCTTACCACAGGTCCAAAAGCAATGAGGCCACCGACCTCGGACTGACACCTCCCAAACTATGAATCAAAATAAACCTCTTCATAAGCTGATTATCTCAGGTACTTGTTACAGTACAACATCCTTGATTTTTTCTAAATCTTAGTAAAATAGAAGAATTCCTTAATATAATAAAAAATCAACCCCAAAGATATACTAAATAAAACACAACATCAGAGTAAAAACTGAAGATCACCAGCATCACTTTGACCACAGACATGTAGAACAAGATAAAAAAAAAAATTATTATTTGCAAGTCATGCATCTGTATGTCAGGAAAAGCTAAGAGTTGCTGAACTATTCTAAATAATGAGGAAGTAGCTTAGATACAAAATCAAACTACTAAATACATATAAACAACATCAATTTAAAGAGTTAACAAAGGAAGTAAATCCACTGTTAGTAGCAACATCAAGACAAAATATACAATAATAAATTTAGAAAGACCAGATCAACATGTAGCAATAAATAAACAAAAATAACCAAAATAAAACAAAAGCTACATCTTTAGTGTGAACTAGGAAATGGAAAAATGTAACTTTTTAAATTTGTAAATCAAATTTGATTTACAAATTTGTCAAACACTTTTTCAAACAAAACTGGTACTACAACCTAATGTATACTGAATACACAGGCATTAAAGGGAAGTGCTGAGGGTGCAACTCTGAGTGGGAAATGCTGGAATCAAATCTAAAACCCATGAAAAAGAAAGAAAACACCTCCCAGCCAGGCTTTGCCAATCACAAAGGCAAAGCCTACTGGTAAAGCCACTAAAGAGGTCACAGGAAATACTGGATACTGAGTGGCCTCATCCCAAAATGAGCTTCTAAGAGCAGGTGGGAGATTAAATAAAAGAGTGAGGTTTTTGGGGGAAACAGTAAGAACTGAAAATGAGGGTTGAAGGAGAAGAACACACTCAGAAAATAGACAAACTCTAAAACTAGATGCTTCAATCTGAAAAGCAATGGGAAGCACAGATACAATACAGAGGAGGAAGCCTTCCTAAACCAACCTAGATTTTGAGGAATTATATAAGAGGAAGAAGCCCTTATATAATGATGCCTAGAAAGCCACCCAGGCTTACTTCCCAAGACAGGAGTCTCTCCAGGAAAATCAATCTCATTCAAACACAAGTAACTGAAAAGGTATCTCATTGGCCTCAACACAAACTGTAAGGAAAATGAGGAAAATGAGCAGTACTGTGTAACTTTTTTTTTTGGTACCAGGGATCGAACTCGGGACCTTGCACTTGCACGACAGGCGCCAGAACCACTGAGCTAAATCCCCGGCCCTGCATAACTTTTTAATAAATAATGAAAACTAACAAAAGAAGTACTGCCACAAACACCATGCTAGAAAACAAAAATCAAATAAAAAATCTATGAATGCAATCACAGTGCCAACAACACAAAGTATGAACAGAGAACTGGATGGCCCAGACATCAGTGGGTGACAGCTAGAAAGCAGGGAATGGGAAATGGGAAACAACAACTCATCAAAGAAAGTGAAGAGAAATACAAATTCATTTTAGAAAGACTAAAACATTTTCAAAAGGAGCAAAAGACATCGCAAAACTCATATTAAAAAACATGAATGGGCCAGGATTTAGCTCAGTGGTATCGCCTCCTTGCCTCAAAAGCGCAAGGTCCTCCTGAGTTCAATCTCCAGTACCAAAAAAAAAAAAAAAAACCGTGAAGAACAAGAAAAGTCAACATGGCAGTTGAGAAGAGGCTGCTAAAAGTTAAAAAACGTCAAAGACATATTAAACAAGTGCAATGTGAGGACTTTGTATCTATCTATCCTGGTTTGAACAAACCAAGACACCTTGGAAAAACTAAGCTATATTTGGATAATACTGAGTTATGAATATTATTAATTTACATTTATGTTACTTTCCCATTGCTAGGACAAAATACCCAACACTCATCATTTATAGAGGAGAAGTTTATTATGGCTCACAATTTTTAGAGGATTTAACCCATATTTGGGTGGCTCCAAGGCAGAATGGCATGGTGGAAGGAAAATGCTGAGGAACACTGCTCACCCCTTGGTAGCCACGAAGCCAAAACCAAAGAGAGGAGCTGGGAACAAGAATACAACTTCCCAGGTCATACTCCCAGGGACCCACTTCTAACCAGGCTCCACCTCCTAACAGCACATTTAGCTACCGAAATCATCAACAGATGAATCCACTGATGAGTATAGCAGCCCCCATAATCCAATCATCTTCCAAACATATGAAACTTTGGGGAGACATTTTAGATCTAAACCACAACATTATTAAGTTAGCTAGACAGGATAATGGCACTGTAATGTGGATTGAATTTTTTTAATATTTATCTACTAAAGATACATCCTAAAGTACTTAAGGATTAAGTCACATATAAGATAAACTGTAGAATACACCAAAAACTGAGAAGAGGAAATCAATGAAACAAAATAGCAAACACTGATAAGTCAGTGAAGCTAGGTAATGGACAGTTGTGATTCATATTTAATGTCTGAAATTTTCCAAAAGAGTTAAGTAAAATTCTTACAAAGAAATATAAACCAGCAAGAATAGGAAAATTTTAAAAATCAAGAAATAAGCATGAACAGTTAAAAATTCAGAAAATGAGAGATGAGAACACCTATCAAGCATTAAAATAGTCTAAAGTATGAACAACTTTTAATTCTAATATATGATAAAGTCAGAATCTCGCATCTGTGAACAAAAGAAAGTCACAGTAAATGGCTTAGGGGAAAAATGGGTAGTCATATGGAAAAAGATAAAAGTTGAATCCATACCTCACATCACCCATCAGAATAAAGCCCAAGTGGATCAACAATCCAAATACAACAAAATAAATTATAGATGTATTTATATTTTAATATCAGTAATCCCATTTCTAGAGACCTATTTTAAAATATATGTGTTGTAATAGACTTAACTGCTCCCCAAAATCCATATGTTGAAGTCTCAACCTTGAATGTGATAGTATTTGGAGCTGGGGCCTCTGGGAGATAATTAAATGAGCTCACCAGGGTGGGCATTCGCATGGAACCAGTGCCCGTACAAGTAGAGACATCAGAGATCTTGCTCTCTTTCTTTACCATGTGGGAAAAAAAAGACATTTGCAAACTTCACCAGAACTAGACCATGCTGGTTCCTTGACCTTGGACTTCCAGTCTCCAGAACTGAGCAAATAAATTTCTATTTTTCAGGTTACCTTGTGTACGGTATATTATGGCAGTCCAAACTAAGACATCACACAACAGCAGCAGCAGAAGGCAATAAACTTTATCACTTAATTTATATGAAGTTCAACACAGAGTCAAAGAAAAATGAGTTCTACTGCTATAGTGAAATAGAGACCTTCAAGATACACTGTTACAGGAGAAAAGTGAGATATATCTAGGATAATGAGAAGAGCTAAGAATTTATGCTATCTTTGTGTATAGATATGTATTTGCTTCTATTTTCAAGGGAAAAAATGCTGAAAAGATTAAACAAGAAACTAAAGGAAATTATCCATCTGAAATTACCCATAGGGAAAAAGAATGGAGGGAACAGACAAGAGGGACAGGGTTAAAACATACACCTATATATTTTTCCCAATTTTTATTTTGAAAAATTTCAAGCCAATTAAAAAAAACTGAAAGAATAGAACAATAAGTAACAATATGCCCTCTACTTAGGTTCAACAACTGTTATCATTTTGCTGTATTTGCTTTATCTCTAACTTTCCAATACATATACACATACATGTACCTTTTTTTATGCAGAACCATTAGAAACTAAAGTTCAGATGTTATGACCCAACAACCCGAAATACCTCAGCACATATTGTTTAATAAAGTCAACTTCCTTAATACCTATAACCTACTATCCTAACTAATAAAACAAATAATACATTCATGAAATTAAATTTAACACCTTGAAAAGGCCTTCAATAATGAGTTAAATAAATGTGACATAATCACTCTCAATCTTGTTTTTGTATCTTCAGATCTATGTTTTTGTTAGTTTTTGTGGTTTTGTTTGGTTATTTTGTTTGGTTGGTCGGTCAGTCGGTTGGTTGGTTTGGTTTGGTTTTTTTTAAAATAGGTTATCACTGTAGTTCAGGCTGGCCTTGAACTCACTATGTAGTCCAAGCTTCCCTCAGACTCATAGTGATCCTCTTGCCTCAGCCTCTTGAGTGCTGGGATTATAGGCATGTGCCACCTTGCCCAGCCATATCTTATCTGTATGGTCTGTATGTTTTAAAAACTTTCTGAAAACTACTTTTGCAGCTGCAGAAATTCCACCATGAGCAATAAGATCTATATTCTGCAGCCAAATAAACTCCATTATTTAAGAAGTACAACTTGTAAGATGCATTAAGTCCAGGTACAATTGTTCTTGGCTCCAGAAGTGACCTAGGCAGCAATTTTACCTTTGCTGCCATTTTATCTATTGTTTTCATTTCCCTGAGTAGGATTTTCTTGTTTCTGGTTTGTATGCAACCAAATAGTTTGCTTTGCTAGTAGCAATGGGTAGAAACTTGGTTTGATGGTATGACTACCTAATGATCTCTATCAGGATCATGGGGTACTATATTAAAAAGCTACACAGAATAAGATTTGTTGGTAATCTTTTTTTTTGTTTTTTTTTTGGTCTGTTGATCTGTGATCTGAAATCAATATTTAAAAATATTTCATGCCTATTGGAAAGAGGAACTGCCCTCTGATGTTGTGTTAATTTTTGATCTATAACTGAGAAAGTACCTTCTCACTGTGTGAATCTGAAATAGTTTCCTTTTTCTATAGAGTATTTAATACTTAGATTAACATTAAAGGAGTCATCTTCTGACTGGTTTACAGAAATTAAATAAGTCCCTTAAATCTAACAGTCCCAGAATTCCCAGAAAATAAAAAAAATAAATTTCTAATAATTTAAATATGCTGGCCTTAAAAAAATTCTCTCCCACAGCAATTCCTAGCTCAGAAGCATTTTTATATACAAAGGTAGCTTATATAACAACACTGAATTTCTAGAAAAATCAGACACATTTGAAAACCTAGGTTTTATTAAAAAAATCTTCCTCTAGTTTTGTCAATATGGGTTTTCTTACAAAAGACTAAACTTTCTAAACAGTTCTATAATATCTTCTAATTTCCAATCCATATTTGAATTTCCCTAACAGTACTTTTCCTATCCTTTACTGCACCAATATTCAAAACATAATTCATTTAAACTCTTGTCCCTCTTGCAAAGTTGACCCAGATATCACAGGAAGTTTCTGACAACCCCAATGCCAACACTATGGCTGTAACTACATAGAAGGTATTCTGCTGGGGGTGGGAGGTAAATCACTGTCCTTCTCAGGCTGCAGAAGTATACGTACCACAAAGGACAGGCACAAGTTAAGCACTGCACATCTTCACGGAGCATGGTAATTACTTTACAATATTTTTACGTTAAAATAAACATAGATGAGAGAATTGAAGACAAAATTTTGTGTTCACTTTTAGATAAAATATAAGGCTTCAAAAAAATAAAAATAAATTTAAAAAAGAGTACACAAAGCCTTAAGATGAAAACACTCGCTCATCTCTGATGACAGGAGTAATAAATGGGAAAAAGTTGTGATAAATAAACCTAGGATTCCCAAGTTACCTAACTATTAGAGATTAGAGAAACCAGGTAGAGAACCAAGTTAGAGAACCAAATTACCTAACTATTACCAAGAAACTCACCTGTAACCTTGCAATCTCTTCCCCAAATTTCTTCTGCTGTTTTGCCAGGATAGACTGGTGGTACTCAGCATTGGCCTGCATGATACAGTGTTTTGCAGCCAAGACGGGGAACACCTCCTGGAAATAAAAATACTGACCAGGGGAGAGTCCAACCAAACAAACCATCACAGACAACATGGGACGCAGGAAGAAAAAGGAAAAGGAGACAGAAATTAGAATCACCCCATTAATGGTTTAGAGATAGGTTAGTCATTAGATGTAAACAGAGAAGACCACATGATTTTGCAAGAACTGAATTCTATGAATTTATTTTTTTCTTTCAATTAAAATTAAGGGGTTTTTTTTAAACTGTTAACTGAAGCCAATTTAGGTTTTTCAAATTCACTTCAATTAATCCATGAAGTAAGCGATTTGTTTACAAGGAAGAAAGGAAAGCATGCATTAGAAAGAGAAGTAGAATGGACATTCAGAGGAATACCAAGCACGGGGCTTTAGAAGCTTTCTCATGAGTCCTTACCCAGCCCTCAGAGTTAACTAAACCACCATTACTCACATATACTAATGAAATTGCTCTATAGCTGACTGTTTCATCATGTTTAAAAGACAAAAGACAGCAAAATAAGTTCTCACTTAAATTCATGTGCTAAGAGATTTCTTAATCAAGATTTTTAGCCATACAAAAATGATTCATCATATAAACACTAATATTTGAGGAATATGTACTCAAAAACACATCACAGACATACAAATGCATTAGTAAGTTAACTGCTAATGATATGATAAAATGTTATTTAGCTCTAAATTTATTTTCAAAACAATTCCAGTCAAAATTTTTAAAAATCCAAACATATGAACCAGAACAGCCATTATATTTGATAGAAGCTCTTCCAAAATGCCAAATCCTAGCCTATAACCTCATTGTCTTCAGGAAGTACGTTAAAAAAAAAAAAAAATCCAAGAAATATACTAGACAATCACTGTCTAGACAAAAATATGAGAAATCAAAAACTGAATTACTACCTTCAGTGTTTTTCTGTCTCCCAGTGAATAATTTCCTAGCTTCCTGGATCACTACTTGCAGATATTCCAGTTTTATAACTAGAATTTGAAAATACCTTATGAGCTTTATCAGTAAAAAGGAAATAACGACATCTGAATCTCAAATTGCATTCATGCCAGTACTCAAGGTAAGACTGGAGTAACTTGGTACTTAAACAGGAGATTTTCAAAGAATACCAGGAGTGCTGCAGAGGTAGTTTCCAAGTCTTTGTAGGAGACATTCTTCGTTCCGTAACAGGACTGAACTAATGGCCCAACAGGATGTAACGGTACACTGTGCGGCTGAACATGAGGTCTTTTAGATGAAAAAAAGGTGAGAAGAGATCCCAAGTCTCTTTTTAAAAGTAATGCTACTAAGACCCAAGAGTCCTGGGCAAATTTCTACCAGGCTCTTGGTGTAAATTCCCAGGAATCTTCACATAATTCCTTACTGTTCATTTTCTCATTAAAGTGTACTTTTCATATACTTATGTGCATCTTTACCCCTAAAGCTCTCTGCAATTTCATAATTTACAAATATTTCTGAAGGTGACTTATAAATTCATCCATTTCCCTATTAACATGTTACCTATGTAACAAATATTATCTGCTACCATAAGAAAAAACTAATTCCTTGAACATCTCTGAAAGACAATAACTAAAAGATGTATTTCACTCAATTTTTTTCTTTTTTAACCATTCCAATGTAACTTTTTAGTCTAATCATGTTTTGTCATTTACAAATGATTATCCTTGATCACTCTTTTCAAATGCCACTTGAGAAAAGTTTACATTTAAACATGACACTTCCTGTGACATATGGTTTAAGATGGCTGCTTTTCCTTCACTGTCCTTTAGAAGCCCAATTTGCTACCCTGTTGGCAAAATTTAATTCTAATCAAAGTATCGGATGAATTTAAGTTTCTTTTCCTTTTCTGTCTGTTTTTGCACTTTATGACTCATCTTTAAGAAAACAGGACAGTAATTAAAAATGAGTAATCAACATGCTGAAGTATTCATGCTTGTACCTAATCACCAATGATTCAGAATGACACAATGCCTTGATTTGATTAAATTACTGAAAACAGATAATGAAAGTTTTCTAGAAAGAGTTTTAGTTTGGAAAAACAAGTATAATAAAAAGTAAAGGCAAAGGCATCCCCTAAATATAAAAGAACCGTTCATGCATCTTAAATTCAAAAACTATTTCTACCAATATATTCTTCAAATGTTTCTATTGAAATTTCAAATATTCTTTTTTTTTTTTTTTTTTTGGTACTGGGGTACTGGGGATCGAACTTGGGTCCTTGTGCTTGCACAGCAGGCAGCGAAACCACTGAGGTAAATCCCCACCCAAAATTTCAAATATTCTTAAGATGCATAGTTTTCAACTTGCTTCTTGTACACAATATTTTCACATGCAAAATAACCACGTTTATTAAACAGTGACTGACCTTGGGGAGAGTGTCTTTGTATTGACACTGTTTGAAAGCATCACCAAAGTAATCTGCAGCCTGATTAGCCAACTTAGCTATGATGGCATCTTTCATTTTATCTGGAATAAAGTATAAAATTGACAATTATAATTAAAAATGATGATATAATTAAAACTTAATGAGATAAACTAATACATGACTCAGTAAATACAGTCATTGAGATCAAAAGTTTAGAATTTGTAAAAATCCTAATTGATGAAATTGTCTTCTGCATAAAACTATTTATTTCATAGGCAAATCCAAAGAGATTAAAAAATAGACTAATGGTTGCTGACCATGGGGAAAAAGGAAATAAGGAGTAATTATTAATGCATGTTCAGTTATTTTTTGGGATGATAATATTCTAAAATAAGATGGTGCTAATTGTTGAAAACCTCTTTACTCCACTAAAAACCACTGAATTATAAACTTTGAAAGGGTGAATTTTGGTGTATATGAATTCTACTCCAATATACACTTTTTTTTAAAAGAAAAAATTATTCTACTTCATACATTTTCCATATGATGACTGTGCTCTTATTTTTAATTACCTGGCATGAGTGAATTTTCAGCCTATATTCTATTGTTTCATAATAATTTACATGTCTTAAAAGAATTGATCTCATTCCCCCATTCACCAAGGACTCTGCCTGGATGGCTCCTTCCTTTCATTTAAGAGGCCAGTCTTGACTAATGAACCTAAAATTAACATGACTCCCCTAAATCTCTATACCACAACCAGTCACTATCACATAATTCACTCACACTTTCCTCACTGCAACAATCTCACTCAGAAATCATCTTGTCATTAATTTCATTATCATCTCCCCTACACTAAAATTAAAGCTTCCTAGAAACAGAAGTCTTGCTTGTCTATTAACTCTTTAACTAGAGACTAGAACAATGCTTACAATACAGTAAGCACCCAGTAAATATTTGCTAAATGAATGCTTTATAATACTGCAAACATATATAAATACTATTTCAAAATCTAGTGTCTAAGAAGAGGTAACTGAGCTTTCACAACATAAGCCTTCAAACACTGCCCACAATCTTGTAATACAAGTTCAAAAAACGAAAGCTGTAATTTTTTAATAATCTCTGTATCATGTTCAAAAAGGAAGGTCTACATAGAACATATATTCTAATCACTTTTTTAGTTTAAAAGCTTATTACTTCTTTTAACATGCAAAAGTTGGAGTTACCTCTTGCAGCTTTTAAAAAAAATACTTCTTGGGCCTGTGCCAGCATGATAAGACTGAGGGTCCCAACAGTGTCTGGAGATATGTCCACAGTAGGCTCTCGATTTAAGGCAGATAAAACCGTCTCCTTAATATGTAAAAAGGCACCACTAGCAAACTAAAGAGGGGAAAAAACATTTTTTAAAATCTCTAAGAGCTCAGTAAGACTTTATTTTCTACTATAACAAACAAAAATCATTTGAAATGTAAATTCTTTGTGCAGTTATTATAAATTTTCTTATGATACAAAACCAGTCTAAAATAACTGACTTACAGATGATAAGCTTATCTTTCAAAAACTCTATAGAGGAAGGCTGAGGCAGGAGGATCGCCAGGAGTTTGAGACCAGCCTGGGTCATATAATGAGTTCAAGGCCAGCCTGATTTACATGAGAAGACCTTGTTTAACAACAACAACAACAACAACAACAAAAACTCTATAAAATAACAAAAGGTTTAACAAAGATTAAAAGTAAATTACGGAAAGCTGGGCATGGTGGCACATGCCCATAATGCTGACACTCTAGGGGATGAAGCAGGAGAATCACAAGTTCAAGACCAGCTTGGACAACTTACTTAGACCCTGTCTCAAAACAAAGCATAAAAAAGGGATTGAGGATGTAGCCCAATGCAAAGGCTCTGGGTTCAATCACTAGTAAAAGAAAAAAAAAAAGTAAATAAATTAATGGCAAAAAATCATTAGGCTTATTTATTTTTAGATACACTTCAAATTTTACCTAAGAATACAGGAAAGCATAAAACACTAATGAAATTTTTTTTTGATGCTCTTGCTTTGCTCCCAAACAAATTCATTGTTCAAATAAGCATGGTATGAAGATGTACCCTTAATCCTCTGAACAAGAGCGTCACTATCCACTGCTCATCATTTTTGTTGGGCTGTTAAGAGCTCCCTACTGAAATGTTCTCCATTAAACTGATCATCCCACTGATATTTTGTTAATGATACTATTAAAATAGCTTTGTTTTTGTGGGGAAAAAAAAAATACACTAAGAGGAAGAAAGTTCTGGAATCAAAAGGTAGGCTGGATATGCAGTTTACACAGAGATAATTCAAAGTTAACTGTACAAAAGAGAGTATCAAGCTTTATTCATTTATAAAGTCCTATGAAACTACTATCTGTAAGGATTATTCAGTTGGTCTTGGTTAGTGACTAACAGAAATACAGATCAGACAATGAGAGGTCAAGCCTTATACACAGTGAAGGAACTAGAGGTCGAGAGGTACTAAAGAACTTGCCCATTAGCACATAATGGCTTCTGGGTGGCAAATGGCCTAGACAAGGTGCAAAGTCTAACACCACTACTTTTCTATCCTTCATACGACGTGTCTGTGAAGACTGACAGAACAGAATATTTCCTAAATAATTCAAAATGACTTCTTGGATCTCTCATGCCAATTAATTGTTACGGTTAACAAAAAGCTAAATAAAATTGCATCTCATTTTCATATTTTAAAATATTTGCCATTTACAGCCTCAAAAAGAAATAGTATGTGTGTTATACTTGCCATTTATGCCCATTGAAATTGTACAGCAAGTCATAACTTTGGTGTATATTGTTTGCTTAAATTATAATTTCCTTTCACTTTCACAAACAACATTCCTCTCCTCTCCCCCGAACTTAAACAATGGTAAAAATCAAACTCAGAGCACCTCTGAGACAAGCAAATTCCACAGGGACACACAGGAAGGAATACCTGGAATTCTGTGATATTTGAAATAAGAATGCCTAAAACGAAAATGAAACTCATTTCTGAGCTTAGTCTCATCTGTGAAATGGGAATGCCATAATGTAACATGTATCATAAATTGTAAACTAGGGCCCGGGATTTAGCTCAGTGGCCTTGCCACTTGCCTCGCAAGCACAAGGTCCTGAGTTCAATCCCCAGTAGCAAAAAAAAAAAAAAAAATCCCAAACAAAATAAATTGTAAACTTATATAAAATACGGAAACAATTATATTAAACTGAAACAAAAAGTTAAATGATAAACAACTACCACAAAATAACAACTTAAATTAGTGAATGATTAATAACTAAAATAGAGTTAGCCATCTTAGGATCATTGTATGCCTGACCAAATTTAAATATGACCTCTCCATAAGTCTCAGAATCCAACTTTTATTTTCTTGCCAAAGTTCTTAATTTTTGTGACACCAGTGAAATTTCTGGTGTCTCACTCTATGAAACATAAAAAAATAATATATAAATGCTTTAAATTAGGTCATTTACTTAAATGGGATTTACCATAAATGTTTATAATTTTGTCTCATACATTTATTCAATCAACATTCACTGAGCCTCTCTTATGAGCCAGGCACTGTGCTAGGTGCTCGGTGTACAATGGGGAGGAAAAACAGACTTGGTCTATAAGTAGTTAATCTAAAGGGTTTAGCAATAAGAATCAATTCATTTAAAAAGTGACTTACTTTTCAAGAACACATCTGTTGTACAAAGAAGCATCTATAAACCTAAAGGTAAATTATTTTCATTTTAATGCAACTTATGTTGATCATTATGTAGTAACTGCTTTTCTGCATACCTGGTAATGTTTAGCAGCGATTTTCAATCCTTCATCATTATCCAGGTTCTGTTCTGCTGCAATCTGGCTAGCTAAGGCTGCACAATTGAACAACACACAGCTCTTTTCATATCCTAAGCTTGCAAGAGCTGTAAAAAATTAAGAAGGAAAAGTTTATCAGATTATTTTTTCTAAGGAAAATAAATGTTTCAAAGAGAAATGCTATATGATCTCTATCCCACTACTTCTCAAAAAAAGTTTCCAGAGCTGTTTTCTCACCTACTTAGAGCTGTCCAGCCATTTACTTCCACAACAATATTCCCATCATCAAAAACTCAAAGAAGATCAGAGGCTGGGGGTATGGCTCAAGTTGTACAGTGCTTGTCTAACATGCCTGAGGCCCTAGGTTCAATCCCCAGCACCACCGGGGGAAAAAACCCTCAAAAGATTAATAATTTCTTTTGTCTTCTTCCTTTTATTTCTACAAACTTAGAGTTGAATTCAAAAATGTAAAAATCAATCTCATGTCATTTCTCACTTAATTTCTTACATTCAAACAAGTTCTTTCTACTTTCCCATCATGTCTCAAAATTATATCTTCCCATAAGTCAGTCTTTCATCACTACAAACCTGAGTGAAGGCAAGCAGCTCCCAGCTGCCCTTCCATACCTCATTCCCTCATGCCAATACATCTATCTCTCAGAGGGCTAGCAGATTAGTTTAGCTAAAATGTAACTGTGCATAAGAATTTATAACCTTATATCCACTAGCATAGCTACTATTAAAAAAAACAAAAAGAAATAACAAGTGTGAAGAGAAATTTGTAGAGAAATTGAAACCTTTTGTACACTGTTGATGGAAATATAAAATGCTACAGCTTCTGTGGAAAACAATATGGTGGGTTCTCAAAAAATTAAAAATTGAATTACAATATGATCCAAATATTTCACTTCTGGGTATATACCCAAAAAACCTGAAAGCAAGGTCTCAAAGACATATGTGTATACCCGTGTTCACAGTAACATTATTCACAACAGCTAAAAGGTGAAAAGCAACTCAGTCCATCACTGATACATGGATAAACAAAGTGATATATACATACACTAAAATACTATTCAACTTTTAAAAGGAAGAAAATCACCTGCTACAATATAATCTTAAGGATATTATACTAAGTGAAATAATCACAAAAAGACAAACACTGTATGAATCCACTTACATGAAGTACTCAGTTCCCAACTTCATAAAAACATACCAGGGAAAAGAGGGTGGTGGCATTTGAGTACGTACAGCATTTCAGATGTCCAAGATTCAAACCTTCTGGAGGTCTGTTTCACAACAATGTGAATATACCTAACTACTGAACTGAACCCTTAAAAATAGTTAAGATGCTAAATTTCAAGTCATACGTTTTATTTCCTTATCATGTTATATGTTTCTCACAATTTTTTTTTTAAGACAAACATGGTATGATCCTACTTACATGAGTTATCTAGAGTAGTCAAATTCAGAGACAGAAAGTATAATGGTAGCTGCCAGGGACTGGTGGAGAAGGAAGAATGGAAAGTTACTGTTTAATGGGTATAGGATTTCAGTTTTATAAGATAAAAAGAGTCCTAGAAATAGATGGTAGTGACGGCTGAACAATAATAAGAATGTACTAAATACTACTGAGTGACACATTTATAAACGGTTAAAGTGGTATATTATGTGTATTTTATCACAACTAAAAATAATTTTTTAGAAAAAAAACTAGACTGAGGATGTAGCTCAGTGGTAGAGTGCCTAGCATGCACAAGATCCTGGATTCAATCCCCAGGACCACCCACCCAACCCACCCCAACCCCCCAAAAAAACAGAATCTATAATGGCTCCCTATTACAGTATTTGTAAAATGCAATTACAGTGTATTTCAAGGTCTCATATAATGTACCAAGCATGGACCACCAGGCAAAATAACCTGAAAGCATCTTATAAAAAACACTGGACAAACCATCTAGCAGAACCAGAACAACACAATTGTGTGTGTTTACGCACAAAGTAAAGCCCTTCTTGTTACAGCACCTTGGTAGCTTCTTTTTTAATAATGACTGGTTTTCAACTTGCTTGCAAACCAATTCTAGCCTCCTAATTCTAAAATTTAGCAGACATACCCACCAGTTACTCTAACCTATTTTCTTAAATACATGAAAAATCTAGCACAAACCAGATGTGAGGACAGCTTTCAGGAAAATAGAAGTAATTCAAAAACTGACTCAGAGCAAACAAAGACAACTCCAGGAACAGAAGATAACATTTCAAAGTCATAATTAGCATCCTTAAGATATCCAAAGTTGGTACATCCATAAAGTAAGAACAAGTTATTTTTACAAATCAGTAAGAAAAATAACCTCGAAATTAAAAATAGAAAGTAATATATAAGCAGCCTCTCAAATGAATATAAAGCCAAAGAATTTTAAAATGTAAAAATTATGAGAAAAAATTCAGAATAATCACCACCCTACTAATAGAGGACAAGTATTCCAAAGAGAAAAGGGAGAGGGGAAGAAGGGAGAGAGAAAGGGAAGGGGAAATTATCAAAGAAAAATAAGAATTCCCCAGGGCTGAAGAGAGGTGTAAGTGCTCCCACTAACGGCCAACAATAATTACGAGACACAAAGAATAAAATGAGATCCTAGATCTTTTCAAATTGCCAAACATAGAAAACAAAAAGAAGATTGTAAAACCCCTCCCAAGAAAAAAGGAACAGGTCAACTACAAAAGAAGAGACCTTTCATCAGTAACACTAGATACTAAAAGGCAAGGGAACAATGTCTTCAAATTCTAAATAAATACAACTTTTAATTACAGACATATATGGGGGCCAGGAAAAGGGACAAAATAATAAGAAAAAACATAATTAAATAGATGAGAGCCAACTTATGCTATAGACTCTTATTCTGAGTGAGGTGAGAAATACACAGTTTTTCAACAGTGTATTAATCAGCCCAACTATAGAAAACAAACCATAGGAAAGCAGGAGACTGGTGCAACACAACAGGTAGCTGCTACAGTAAAATGCTGAGAGGTGATGGTACTCTGGATTTTTTTTTATCACTGTATATTTTTATATTGGAAATGTGCACCTTTAACATAATCTCTCTTGGTTTTTATTTGTTCTCCATTCCCCTGCCCTCCCTTCAACCCCTCCATCCCTCCCTATTTACAAAGACTTTGTTTCCATTTTTCCATTTTCTCCTATGGATTCCATTTCAGAAGTAACTGGATTTTGAGCATACTTTAAAGGAAAATCTGAGTTTGCTGATGAATTAACTGGATGTAGATAATGAAATGAAACAGAGTCAAGGATGACTCATTATTACCTAATCATCTAGTTGCCATAATTTCACATCAAATTCATATGTACAGACATTTTTGAAAAGAAAAGTTTCAGAAAGTTGACCTTCATTTAGAAAGTTACTAAAGATATTCCAGCAAAGAGAAGATACACTATCCAGAAAATAATGGTTTTAAGATAGAGGAAACAATGACAATCCAGGAAAAAAGCTATAGCACAGCGTTCTGTTTCAATAATTTCTCATGTCTGAGAGATTTTATGAGAAAGTTTTCTGTTCTTGTAATCAAATCTTACAGGTTTTTTCTTTTTTTTAAGATTTCTTCTAGCACATCTAAAACCAAGGGGTTTTTTTATGTTCAACTTCCTTCTTTAAAGAGCGTTTTCTTATTATTCAACTCTATTCTTGTTTTTCGGGATTTCTTCTTTTTTGTTGTTTTTGTGAGGCAGAGTCTCGCTCTATAGTTCAGGCTGGCCTTGAACTCACTTTGTAGCCCAAGCAGCCCTCAAACTAGTGGTGATCCTACCTCAGCCTCCTGAGTGCTGGGATTACAGCTGTACGCCACCACACCTGGCATGATTTCTTCTTTTTCATTAAGTTTTTCGAAGTAAATCACATATTTAAAAGTAAAAATCATTTTCTAAAATTCAAATAATTATTTTAAAAAGAACACAAAAGAAAATAAATTTAACATCAATCAATATTCCACCTCCTAGAGTTAACCACTGTTAATTTTTTGGTATTTTCACAAAAAAACTCCCATGTGCTCATACATAACTTTTGACAAAATGGATACTACACCATACTCAGGTTGCCTGGAATGCATAACTCCAGGGAGGAGAAATCACACTGGGTTTTAATGAAGAGTGTCCCAAGGGGACCAACTCAAGGAACCCCAAGGTATATAATACAGCAAACTCTGACCTATAAAAGGGTTTTTATTCAATATTCTATGGACATAGCTCTACATGTCAACAAATACATATTTGCATTATCACTTAGTCTCCTAAAAGTGAACAGTATTATAAGTGGGTAATAAGATATTACTGAAGGATATTTAATTTCTAATTTGTACTGCTAACAAAGCCTTCATGAACCACTTCCTGTTCTATTTATGCTCTTAACTTTTTGCTTCCCTCTTCTAGGAACTTGGCTCATCACTTATCTCTCCCACTCTAGTATTTCCTAGTTTCCTGTCATCTATTCCTTATTCTCAACCCACTAATTTGCTCACATCACAACAGCACTAAAAATACTTTACTCTGCTTCCCTCTCAGTATAATGCTTCCTTTGTCCCTTAATCTTTACTGCAAATGTTCTAAAATGAGCAACTCACACTTGCCATTTACATATCCTAACCTCATGTCTACTCCTAACTTGATGCAACTTGACTTCTTCAGCATGCTCCTAGTAAACTCTCTACCAAATCCAAGGACTTTTCAACCTCATTTGCTCTTACGGTTTACATCTAAATGTCTCCGCAAGAGCCTCATGCGTTGAGGCAGGGCTCAAAAATGGCGACTGAATTACACTGATTTGCACTATACCTGATTTGCAGGTCAGTGGGGGTGTGACCTGGAAGAGTGTATCTCCCTCCCTTGCTCCTTGCTTCTCTATTTCCTGATGTGAGCAGCTCTTCCTCCCTATGGTCCTGTGCCATGCTGTTCTGCCTTGGATCCAGCTGATCATAATCTGTAGCCATGAGCCAAGTAAGCCTCTCCTCCTTTAAGTTATATGTGTAGTTTTGTCCCAGCAACAAGGAAAGTAACTAAGACAATGACCTTTGCCACAATGACTCTATCAATGTCTCAACCTGTACGATCAGTAGAGCCACTTGGAGATATTCTCAGATACTAATTCCAGTGCCCCAACCAAAATTTCCCATCACATCTTGTAGGAACACTTTGTATATTTAATATTTTCACCAGGTAATTCTACATGCAGTCAGGCTTGGGAACTACTGGACTTTATCACCACTGAAACTTCTGGCATTCACTGCCACGTCTCTAATTTCCTGGTTTCTTTAAAATCTGAAAGCTTTTTCTCACCCTCATTTCTAGAATCTCTTCCTCTACTTCCTCTGATTATATTAACTCGGACTTTCATACATCTCTATTAACTGATAGAGGGGATATTATCATCCAATGATAATGGTTCCCAAATCTACATCTCTACCTCTTCTAAGCTTTAAATCCATTATTTCCTAACACTAGGAAAATTTTTCCACCCCAACATAAAACAGAAAAGTCAAATCCAACCTACTAAAAGGAATAAAAATCAAAATAGACAAGCCAAGTTTGACCAAATCTCTGGGTCAACACTTAGCTTCTCCTCCTCTTCCCTCTGTCAGCAAATCCAATCAATCTCACCTCTGAAATGCCTCCTAGGCCTGTATCTTCTACTCTAAACCATATCTATCTCCTACCTGGTATGACCTCATCATGTCTCACCAGAGACTGGTTTGTTTTTTGCCAGTCCCTGGAGTTAGGCTTTCTGGATTCATAGCTCCTTCATGAACTTCTAGTAACATTACCTTAGCAAGTTACTTAATCTTTAAGTTAGTTTGCTCAATTGGCAAAAACACTGCCTTTCCTCACTGGATTACTTGAGGATTCAGTAAAATATATATAACGTCCCTTCCACAGTGCCTGGGTAGAGGATGTGTTCAATAAACACTAGCCATTAATATATCAGTGGAAAATACAAATTCAAGAATAAACTATTTGCAACCCTTCTACTTTCCAATATCATCAAGCTCTATAATCCCCAAATCAACCCATAGTTTCAGGGTATAACAATAATTATTCTACATTAATGTGTTATACATAATGTACACTATATAACTGCACATTTCCATTTCCTCACCTAAATATAAGTATATGCCTTATATACACCTTGTACCTAATGTAGATACATAAAGTATATATGTACATATATGACATGTGCATATTATTTATATTTCACAAGGTATCTAGTACATACTATTACTTATACAATGTATATATACTATATAAGGTATACATAAATTTTGTGAGACGTAAAGTATATACACTTTACCCACGCCACATGCTGCCCTAGTAATGTGGCATCACAAGATTGTAAACTTTTAACATTATCATGTGATTTTTAGCAGTATTTTTTAAGACTCAATTACACGGTGTTTGAGCAGTCTGTGTATGAAATAACACAACACTGTGTAGGGGAGGGTGCAGTATGATGCTAACTTTTCCTCCTGTGGCTAACCCCATAGTCGAATGGAGACCTGCATGTATCCAACATCACACGCACTTGTGTGACTTGAGAGTAAAACACAGCATTACCAGTAACAGTGTTTCAGCCTACCTACACAGAGCCAAGCGTGCCTGTAAAGACACAGTAATTAGGCACATTTTTTTTAAACTTGGGCTTGTATTACTTCATAAAATAATTTAGTAAGTTAAAATATTTTAAAAGTTTTGTTATTTATATACATTAACTACATTATATATTTTATACGTGGCCCAAGACAATTCCTCTTCATGCAATACAGCCCAAGCAAGCCAGACAGTTGGACACTCATGCATAACATCAATCAATATTCCACCTCCTAGAGTTAA